TTAATTCACCTACCTTTATGTTCTGGAAAGCATTCTTTCTCTCATGAATATAAATGGGTTTACTCAAAATGAAGTGGTACTAATTTCAGGTACTATTCTAAGCATCCCTTTAAGACCAAGTCCAAATTATATGTGATTGACTTTTGCACCCACAGTAGATCATACAGATGGATACTTTCTCTAGATTTCAGGTAAGTATCTCCACCATCTTGTATCTACAGACAACAGAGTGCTGCTTTTGATGGCCAAAATAGATGACATTTCTTTCAAACAATGATCAGCTTTGCATCTCTGCCAAGACTATGTAACATCACATCCCTTTGCTTAAGCGCAAAATAACCTGGAACTCATCTAAGGAGTGCTATAGACATTTTAAAGAAACAGATGACCTAACTTGGTGACAACCTGGTAATCCTGGATGCCAGAATATACTTCACTGGGGCCTTTTTTATTTTCTCAGTCACAGCGTATGAAGCTTAGATGTCAAGGGGAAAACACATTTAAATGTTCTCTGTATTGTGGAATTATGATCTACACAAAGCATAAATACCAAATGCTTCAGCTAGTATTGTGTACTCTTCAGTGCAGGGAGCATGGCTATTGAGTGAATTGACATGTCTTGATTACAAATCTATCTCTATGCTATAGATCCTATTCAGAACAAATATGAGGAAAAACTATTCTCACTATGACTTTACTGTAGCTCATGAAATGACTTGAGGTTCAGCTACATCTGCCAGTTAGTAGTGGAAAACATCTATTTGCTGATGTTACACCTCACACAGTAGGAAAAGGTCAGACTGGCAAGTATCATTGTTCATTAATTTAATAATGGCTAGCAAGTAGAAAGGCACAATTCAGAAAAGTTGAGCAGTTTTGAGCTGGGAGAAGAACAGGGCTAACGGTGCCATTTAAATCTACAGGACTTTAAAGAGATTGCTGTGGAGTTAACTCAATGGGACCTCAATCTTAAGGAGAGATTTAAATAGCTGTAAAAAAATTGTCCCTAAGACTATGTCTTTAGAACTGCCAAAAATCACAAATTGGACTGGTTACTACATCTGATGTATTATCTTCCCTATGCAAGAGCTTATATTTTCCCTGTACTGACCTCTGCATCTACACATTTGTATTGTTGCCTTATAAATATCGGAATAGGAACAAAAGGATACAATAAAATATTAAAAGGAAGACTCCAGGTTAGTTCCTAAAAATTCCATTTGCCAGCCTAAAGCAGCAGCAATCCAAAACGTCTTTGTCTAGGACAGAGATACTGAATACAAAATGCAGGTTGGGGGAAAGCATTTCCTTTCTTTTTACAAATCAAGCTTTGACACCCCATGATTATAAAATAATGCTTGAAAATGAGATCTCAGAATCCTGAAGCATTATTAATAATTGCCAAATAATATTTCACTGTCCTGAATGGGTACATGCCCCTCCAATGATCCCTTCGAAGCTGTATATATTATAATCAGAACTATGCGAAATAACAAATTATTCAAATCTGCCCTTTTTACATAATTGATACAAGTGGCATAATGGATAGCATAAAGAGAGGCATGCAAAGAAAGCTGAAAAGCCCTATTGTATCCAGCTGTCTTCCAGAGTCTTCAGCCAGACATTTCTAATAAGCAGCGAATATATGTAGCTCGGGGTTGAGTTGTTGGGTTCTTGGTGTTGTCTGAGCTTGCTTCTCTTCTTACAGACATTTCATGACCAGGCTAAGGAACATCATTAGAGCAGATGTTCCTACCCTGGTCATGAAACATCTGCAAGAGAAGCAAGCTCAGACAACACCAAACACCCAACGGACCAGAAGCTATATAACATTCCTACACAATTTTGTAACATTCTTACACAATTTCCCTTCACAGCTTTTCCAAGCAGTTGACAACGAATGGGATCCTACCTCTGAATATGGAGCCTTTCCACTGGCAGCAGAAATATTACCGGTACATTTCTTTGATTCTTTTCTAAATCCACCCAAATTACAGATCACCGCCACATCTTGTGGCAGATAATTGTACATTTATTTGGTTGCGTAAAGAAAAAAAAATGACTTTGTAATCTTGAATCTTCTGTGGCTCAGTTTAATTGGATGGCCTCCCACTGTGACTATGGGAGGGTTAAAAACTTGTCTTCCCTTTCTTCACGCCATTCATCATTTCGTATAATTCCTCTTCGTCTCCTTTTTTTCCCTCCCCTGAAAATACTAAAAGCCTAAAATACTAATTTTCTATTTTATTTTCTACGGAGGAAACTCTGATTATTTTAATTGTCTTTTTCCAGTTGTAGGACACCCTCTGTCTTGGAGCAATCAGAGCTATTGTACACAGTGCTTCAAATAGAAACACAGATTTAGATTGTGTATTTTAGTCATTTTATCTGAAGGTTCGATTTTTTTCAACCCTGTTCCTCATAGTTTCTTGCATGGAATTTATCATTTATCAAAGATATTCTGATTTTTTTCTTAACAAGCCTGCTCAGCATCAAAATCTTTTTCCTGGCAGTTCAGACCTGACAAATGTATAAGTGACATTAGGATTCCACCCTCATAATTTACATCATTTCTTACTTGTCTGCATTGAACAGCTGACATGCTTTTAAAATCTCACCCCACATCCTTTGGCAGTTTTGAGCCAGGGGAACCATCACTATCATTCACAAGCCTGACCACAATCCTGTTATCTATGACAGTCAATTCATTATGAAAAATGAAATCTTTCTTCCTTTCCTTTCCTTTCCTTTCCTTTCCTTTCCTTTCCTTTCCTTTCCTTTCCTTTCCTTTCCTTTCCTTTCCTTTCCTTTCCTTTTTTGGTCTGGTCCCCTATGCTTTGCAATGCAGCCCCTGGCCAATCACCCCAAAACCAGATGCAATATCCATGGCATGGACCTCTCTGGGTCTCTAAAGGAGACTTGACTTATCTTCAATCCGGCCTAATTTAAAGGACTGTTGTAAATAAGTTTTTCAAGCAGTGTGTGCACTGAAATAACAGTAATTCTAAAATGTAAGAATAAAAGGACTGTAATCTTTTCACATATGCATCTCCATAGATTCAAAGATCTCCTTTAGTAGCTAGGCAGGGAACAAAAATAAACTGCTGGTTGTTGTTTGGTAACAGCTATTTCATGAAAGGCCTTGCCAAAGGAGGTCTTCCAGACTCAGCCATTAATCTTAGAAAATTAATTTGGGTATCTCTGTCTAGAACTAATTTTGCAATGATAGCTTTAAGTGCTTTCTGAATTTAATATGTACTGGTATTTGCTTTGTAACAGAACTTATTTTGTTGATGTTATATCTCAAATGCCTGCTATAAAGCTCTTGATGGACTTGACCTATGAGACATAATTTATGAGAATGTCAGTTCTTTAAAATGATCTTTTTTCAGCAAATCAATCAATCAATCAGTGGGCTTCATTCATTTAGTCACCTGTATTTTAGTATCACAGACTCCAACTCTGACACTGTTATGTCACAGAATAATCTATAGGTAGTATGTCACTGTCCTTATTGGAGCTCTCAGGCTAGAGATAAATAGAGTTATGTTATGCCACGCACTCATACTAGAGATTCCATGTTTCCACCTCCCTGGGGGATGGACGTTTTCAGTATATTCAATGGGTTTACACAATACTGATACAGCTATGTGCCTTGTATGAAGCATAGTGACCTACGAGTTCAATTCCCAGTAGAAGGGTTTGAACCACATGAAATCTAATACTAACTATAATGGCTGCATGTACTTGATCAGTCCCAATAAAGTCACAGGATAGAAATCATGGAGAAATGGCATTTCTGCCACTTCTGACATTTTTTCTGAAGTTATCACTTTACTCAAACTGCTTGGCTGATTGGCTGAGACTGGGAGCATATCTGAGGGCTTTGGTGGCATTCCTGCATCCAGAGCCACTTAAGGTCTGTCTTCTCCTCCATCCAATCCTATCTGCTTCTCCCAATGTTTTTATGTATATTATGTTTTTAAGAGCCTGAGGAATACCTTTTTTAGATGATAGCAATGGAAGGAGCAGATTCATCTAACTGAATAATCAACAAAACAGCCCTGTAAATTTGGAACCCAGACAAAAGTTTCTAAATGTGCCTCTGAAAAGTTTGGAAACTTTATTATACCGTATGGTTGAGCAACAGCCCCTTCTTTCAAGGAACCACAAGCTATTTGTTCCTTCTTAGGGAGAATATGACAAGTAAGGGCTATATATACCCTCCACATGTAGCACAGCTCCCATTCTCCTGTCCTTCTCCAGCTGTTGCAGCCACCTAAATATTCTTTCCCGCTTAGCAGTTTCCAGTAAAAACAGCAGCCCTCTTCCCAATCAACCAACTCTACCTTCTAACAGATCAAATCCTTAAAATACATGTGTGACCATTCGTTACTGCCAGTGCAAAACTACGCAACGCTTACAAGGGCATTCCATTCTAATATGCAAGGGACGGCGCTACACGTGGCTCGCCTATATTGGGCGTCGGCAGGTCAGCCCTTCAACAACGCAGGCCCCGTCCTGTCCGTGGTGACTTGAAACGAGTCCCACGGACTTCAAAGAGGAGTACAGGTACCCTCAAGTTCACGCGCCGAGTTAAGCTCAGCCGCCACGTGTGGTACCAGATTCCAGTTTTCGTGTCCTTCGCATATGAAATCGAAGGGCGAGAGCTATTTGGTTGAACTGCAGGTGATCTACGACAACGTTATCTCCCGGGGACCACAGCCCCGTTAGGGAACCCTCGCGTTCTTCTCGGAGTGCAGCTTGCAAGTTTGCAGGCGACCAATGTCAGCGCCCGGCAGCGCAAAGCCCTGTTCCCAAACACGGAGCGACAGCTTCGCCAAATTTCCCCGCGCGTCACCCTTCGCTCCCCAGAGCAGGCACTCCACGAACGCGCCCGCCCCTTCCCCGACAGCTTGGCAAAGCTCCTTCTCTTCAGCTTTCGCATCTGAATGCGCCCGTGCAACGCGCGCCGAGTTAAGGGACGCCTGACGTCGTACCTCGGATGTAGGTGCACTTGTTCTCGTCCAGCAAACTGGAGCTTGATCCGCCCATCGTGCCGGCGATCGGGGCGACAGCGAAGGGCCGGTGAAGGGAGGAACTGATGCGCGGATGGGTGGAGGTATCGCGAGGAGCTGGACAAGGATGGTTTCCAACTCGACCTTTCCTCTCCTTGCGCCGCTCTCGCAAGCAGCTCCTCAGCCGCAGGCGCTCCTCTCTCTCAATCTTCCCCACTGCAGCCCAAGTGCAAAACTTCCTCCAGCCCCAGGGCACCGCCCGTTCAGGCTCCTCCTTCCCCGCTCTTCCTAGCAAAGGGTCAGGCCGCCGAAAGCGTCCCCCTCCAAGAGACGAATCCTCGCTCGGAGCAAACGAAGCGCACAAGCGAGCTTTCTTCTGGATTCCTAATTCCAACTCTCTCGTCTTTGACTTCTTCTGCAAATTGCTGAATTAAATTCAGAGCCCTCCTGAGAGATGCCCGGCGGGGTACGGGGGGGGGGGGGGGGGGGGGGGGGGGGAGAGGTCTTTTATTTCTTCAT